TTTGCCACTACGCATGAAATTAACGACAGTTCATGTCATCCTTCAACTGAAGCTGGGAAAGGTACAATTACAGCCATTGCCTCTTACCCAGCATTCCAACTTTTACTTGCTCTTTTTCCCAGTTCCTTTCACAACTCTTTCACATTCCTGTGTCTGTCAGAAACTATGTATTTGTTTTATACAATTCTTGAATACTCCACTTTGGCTCCACTTCTGACACCATGTTCAGTGTTCACAAGGAAGCAGTAGCCCCGTCTGTACTGTCTTTATTGGAATGCTTGAAAGATGCCTGCCTCTAGAGTGTGCACACGTCATGGTGGAGACCACATGTCTACACCAAGCCGAGATGCACATGGGTACAGATTGTTTTTCTAGCCCAAAAGCTATGGCTGCCCTTAAGCAGTTGGAAAACTTAATGGAAGGAATTCCCATTATTAACGGCTTAGGCCAATTTGATTGACTTGCAACTTGCAATGCAAGAGCTCAGTCAAAAACACTGCTAGGACTTCAAGATGACATAGGAAGTGCAATGGATCCCAGACGAAGGCTTTAAGGACTGGAAGGGATCAGGAAGCCTAGGGGATCTGGAGGCAGATTCTGAAGCCAGTGAAGGCAGGAATAATAGAAGTTGGATGGCAGTGGCAGGGGGTAAACTAGGCACAGACCAAAAGTTTTAACTTCCCCTTCTTTGCTGCCTTTACCATCATGTTGCTTGTTAACTAGCCAGTCAACTGATGTGTTAATAACGTTCAACTACCCATGAATTATTCTAAAAGAAAACAACACCCAGCAGACTCCTGATTTCAGCTGAAATGGAGACTCAGTCAGGGGTGAGCAGAAAGGTGTTGGAATGGCCATTCTTCATATTTCATGTGGCCCCTGTCCCCTCACCTCCTTGGTGGCAGTGGGGTCAGGGTAAGGAGTTAAAGGGAAGTTAAAATCCAGACCCTTGGAAAGTATTTGATATTATAGACTATGGTACGGGAGGTCTTTCATTCATCCCATCTTCCAGCTTTTGGCCCATAGCCCTGGGTGCTATGACAATGCAAGTACATATTGTAAATACTGCTTAAATGAGTTTCTGACTCACCACCCTATCAGGCAGTGAGCTCCAGACTGCCACCACCCTGTCTGAGTAAAGGGCATCTCTCCTCAACACCTCCTACCTAAATTTAAGCCCCTTAGTTATTGACCCCTCAACTAATGGAAAGTGTTCCTTCCTACCCAGCCTGTCTATGCCCCTCATAATCTTATAACTCTCTTTCATGCCTTTCTCAATCTTTACTGCTCCAAGGAAAACAACACCAGTTTGTCCAAACTTTCCTCATAGTTCAGACCTTCCATCTCAAGTAGCATCCTGGTAAATCTCCTCTGCATCTGCTAATTCAATCACATCCTTCCAATAAACACGATGTACGCAGTACTCCAGTCTTGTCATAACCAGAGTTTTATCCAGTTCCTACATCACCTTTTTCTTCAAAGTTAGACTTGCAAAGTAAGCGTGGATTTCTTCAGTCAATTCTCCAAATGATAGCTGGAAATGTAATATCAATATGTGCCTAGGTTTAACACAGGCACTTGCCACAGCGCAGAGCCTCAGCTTTGCCTCAGCTTTTTATCTGAGGCACTTGTCTTTTTAAGGGGTATGTTTCCAAAAAGGATGCTCATTTCAGAATCTGTCCAGCATGGAACCAAAACAGAAAAGAAATTGAATCAATAAAACAATAAATTGTGGATGCTGGTGATCTGAAACAAACTAAAACAGAAATTGCTGGAGAAACTCAGCGGGTCTGGCAGCATTTGTGGGGAGGGAAAACAATTAACAGTTTCAAGTCCAGTGACCCTTCCTCAGATAATTCAGCACACTTTCAAAAGGGAAGTATATACATGCCCATGGTGTGTCTGTCAGTGAGCATTTAGAGTCATAGAGCTGTACAGCACAGAAACAGACCCTTCTGTTTCAACTCCTTGATGCCGACCGGATATCTGATACAAATCTAGTCCCATTTGCCAGCATTTGGCCCATATCCCTCTAAACCCTTCCTATTCATATACCCATCCAGATGCTTTTTAAATATTACAATTGTACCAGCCTCTACCACTTCCTCTGGCAGCTCATTCCATACACCCACCAACCTCTGCGTGAAAAAGTTGCCCCTTAGGTCCCTTTTAAATCTATCCCCCACCCACGCCACCCCCCTCCAAACCTCAAACCTTTGCCCTCTAGTTTTGGACTCCCGTGTCTTGGGGAAAAGACTTTGGCTATTCACCCTATCCATGCCCCTCATGATTTTACAAACCCCTATGTCACCCTTCAGCCTCCGACATTCCAGGGAAAACAGGCATGGCCCGTTCACGCTCTTCCTATAGCTCGAACTCTCAAACCCTGACAACATCCTTCCTGAACCCTTTCAAGTTTTACAACATCTTTCCCATAGCAAGGAGACCAGAATTCTCTCGCAGTGTTCCAAAAGTGGCCTAACCCATGCCCTGTAGACTTGGTGCCATTCTTCCGCCTTCACACTGTAACCTTCTCATTATTCCTTTGCTGGTAATGGTATTTGACAGTAAAAGGTATCTGATAAACACAGTGTCTTACTTAGGTACGCCTTCAGTAAGAAGCAATGTTTCTGATGTGCATTTTGTTTGGTGGCTGTTTCTAGGAAACAGTCATTAAATCATCTGTCGAGTTCTCCTCCATGCAGTCTCCCATGTCACTTGGTCACCAAACAGCTCAGACAGCAAAGTGATGAGCCACATCCTGACTGAGCTTCTTCTTCCTCAGGCAGCTCAGGAAATTTGGCATGCCCATAAGAACCCTGACCAACTTCAACAGATGCACCATTGACGACGTACTGTCTGGGCGCATGACGGCCTGGTATGGCAACTGCTCTGCCCAGGATAGTAAGAAACTCCAGAAGGGAGTGTGCACAGCCTAGAGCATCACAGAACCCATCCTTGCATCAATGGACTCCATTTACACAGCTCACTGCTGCAGAAACGCAGCCAACATCATCAAAGGCCCATCACACCTCGGTAATGATCTCCTACAATCTCTTCCGTCAGGTAGGAGATACAGAAGCCTGAACACATACACAAGCAGGTTCAGGAACAGCTTCTTGCCAGACGTTATTAGACTGCTGAAGGGACTCTCTAACAATAATGTTGATCTTGCCTAGCACACGCCTTATGCAATGTAACCTGTACGCCTCTGTCGAAGTCTTTTGATCACCCTATGATCTGGATGTCCTTGCTTACTATGGTCTGCCTGTACTGCGGGAAAAGTTTTTCACTGTACTTAGATACACATGACAATAAATCAAACTAAATCATATCAAGTCAGGCCATTGGTGCAAGGACATGTATGCAGCAGGGTGTGAATATCACAATATGAATGGCAAAAGAGTTTGCATTGTGAAAAAAATCATGTGCAAGTTTCATTCCATTTTGAGGAGGGATACATATCACCATGTATCATTATTATGTGCTGCAAACTCTGCATTAAAACAAAGGACTGTTAATGCTGAAGATCATAGATCATAGAATCCCTACAATGTGGACACAGGCGTTTCAGGCCAACAAATCCATACTGACCCTCTCAACATCCGACCCGCACCCATCCCCCATAATCTACACTGAAACAAAAACAAATTGCTGCAGGATCGCTGCAGGTCTGACAGCATCTGCGAAGAAAAAGCAGAGTTAACGTTTCACATCCGGTGACTGTTATGAAGAGGAGTCACTGGACTCGAAACGTTATCGGTTTTCTCTCCACAGATGTTGCCAGACCTGCTGGGTTTCTCCAGCAACTTCTGTTTTTGTTTCAAAACTCTGCATTGCTGGCCACTGTTATCAGCTTATGTCACGTCACCTAGATCAGGGGTTCTTGAGCAGATCCCCAGGGGTTCAGGGAGTAATGCAAAAGCATTTACCAAATGGTGGTGGTCTTGCTGCAAACCAAGGAGTGGAGCTCAGCTGCCACATGTGCAATGCCAAGGGAGCAACAGACAAGCTGCAAGGTGTACCTCAAGTAGGGCTGAGATTTCAATGTAGTGTTGCAATTTGGAAATTTCTTGCCCCTTTTACTTTGAATATGTAAATCCAATGGCTTCATAGTATTTGGGGAACAGATATCATTCTTGTTTTGGGTTTATTTAATGCTGCAGCACTTATTGCAACATTTTTGCCTGAATTTCAAATGGGCTAGTAATCACAGTATAATATAATTTAGATGGAGTTTTCCATAGCTATCAGCCAACGTGATTCCAATCTCTCAATCCCTCTTCCCAAATCATAGAAACCTTACACAGTGTGGAAATAGGCCACTTGGCCCACTGAATCCACACTGACCCAGTGCAGAGCATTCCACCCAAACCAAGCCCCCTCTCCTATCCCTGTAACCCTGCATTTCTCATGGCTGACCCACCTTGCCACCCTCCATCCCTGGACACTACGGGACAATTTAACATGGCCAATCCATCCAATCTGCGCATCTTTGGACTGTGGGCAGAAAGTGGCGGACCCAGAGGAAACTCATGCAGACACAGGGAAAACGTGCAAACTCCACACAGACAGTTGCCCGAGGGTGGAATTGAACCCAGATCCCTTGTGCTGTGAGGTAGCAGTGCTAACCACTGAGCCACCGTGCCAACCAATTCGGACCATTTGCAAGCTAGATATTCTGCTTTTTGATTTTGGAACAGTGAATGCCAGACGAAAATTCGGGATGACTGCGTAAATCCGCGCTTACGCTAAGTATTAAGCGATACTGGCCAATGGTAGGGATGTGGAGTTAGGTCACAAATCAGCCATGATCTCATTGAATGGTGGAACAGGCTCAAGGTGCTGAATGGCCTCCTGATTTCCTATGAAATTGCTGTCAGGATCAGTGATAACAATCGTGAACATTGTCAAGAAAATGGCCTGCAATTTGATAAGCACTTAATGTAAAACAAGGTTTTAAAAAAACACACTGTACATTTAAATGCAACCCATTTAACTAATCAGTAAACATTTTTTAATAGCACGAAAAAATGTAAAAAAAAATACACGTTCATCCAAAACCAAAAATCTATATACAATGCAATTTTAAATGGACAGTCAATTTGTTCCTATGCCTCAGGATTGAGCTGCCATCCTTATTTTATATATAAAGCAAAAAAGTATCTCAGCCCAACAGCGCATGATCAATAGCCGACGCACTACTTCAGGAACCGGTCCAACTTTCGCTGAATGTTTACAAAAGCATCCTTTCCCAGATAATCCGCATTGCCTTCTTCCCATCTCCGTCTTTCCTTCTCAGACTGGGTTGGTTCCACTTCCAAGGACAGGTCTGCGAAAGAGGCTGCTACATCTTCCTGATGCGGGGGCTGCAAAATACAAACCGATTCAGGATTCGACCAAACTAACGAAACAAGCCCGTGTTCAATAATGAAAGAGACAGCTAGGGAGGCGGGGGAGAGACAGACAGAAGCAGGAGAGAGAGAGAAACTGGGAGAGAGGGGAAAGAGAGAGAGAGGCTGGGGGAGCGACAGGGAGAGAGAGAGGGAAGCTGGGGGGGAAAGAGAGAGAGAGAGAAGCTGGGAGAGAGAGGGAGAAGCTGGGAGAGAGAGAAGCTGTGGGGGAGAAAGAGAGAGAGAAAAAAAACTTGGGCGTGGGAGCAGAGAGAGACAGAAAACAGGTGTCTGTGCGAGAGACAGAGGGCGAGTGAGAAAGAGAGAAAGGGAAATAACATTTTTCTGCGGATATGTATCACAATAATGCACAACCTTTATGACAAGGCTAATTGATGCTGCAGTTTGCAGCCAATGTTTTGCATTACAGTAGAAAAGAAATACAGTATTAGCTTTAGACTTCCCACTGAGATATCCTTAAGGGCACCCTAAATTAAGAACCTGCATTTATTGAATTCCATTTGGTATCTTCAAGATGTTTGAATAACAACTTCTGAAGTGCAATCCATGTCGCACTGAGGGTAAAGACAGATGTCAAGTTGCACAGAGAAATCTATTCCAAGGACCACAGCAACCAGTTATGGTACCAATCGACAGCTAAATATTGGCCAGGATATCAGGAAAACACCCAAACTATTCACAAAACTGTATCTTGGGATTTATATTTTCATCTAAATAAGTGCATAGGACTTCATCCAACAGATGGCACCTCTGAAATGTGCACTACTGCATCACTCCCAGCCTGATGTGCCAGCCGAGATTGGACTGAAGCTCTGGAGTGTTCAAGTTATTGATAAAAAAGAAGCATGTGGCTGATCTCTCGCTTTTTCCACTCATCAGCACAAATGGAAGAAGGCCAGATTTCAAATGGAGGGCTTTGGTGGTATAGTGGCAAAATTAGCAATCCCACACGTCCAAGCAAATTGACATGGGTTCACAGCTGGAGGAATTTAAATTCAATTCATAAAATCTGGGATTGAAAATATGGAGACAACCATCAACAATCGTCATAAATACCAGTCTGACTCAACAAAGATTGAAGGTAAAGTTGCCATAGTCCCAGAGGATCACAGAGCTGCTCTCTCATCAGAGAGACATGACTAGTGGCAGTTGAAATCTTTTAAACATCCATAACCACAATTACAGTGAAGTAAGTTTTCTAATAGTGCAACAAGATCTTGATCAGATGGGCCAAAGAGTGGCAGATGGAGTTGAACTTTGATAAATGTGAGGTGTTGCATTTTGGTAAGGCAAACCAGGGCAGGACTTACACAGTTAATGGTAGGGCCCTGGGAGTGTTGCCAAATGGAGAGACTTAGGAGTGCAGTTGCATAGTTCCTTGGAATGGGGGAGCAGGTAGACAGGGTAGCCTTTGGCATACTTGCTGTCATTGGTCAGAGCAAATAATCTAGGAGTTGGGAGGTCATGTTGCGGCTGTACAGGACATTGGTAAGGCCAGTTTTAGAATATTGCATTCAATTCTGGTTGCCCTAATCAAGGAAGATGTTGGAAAGGGTGCAGACAAAATTTCCAAGGATGCTACCGGGGCTGGAGGGTTTGAGCAATAGGGAGAGGTTAAATAGGCAGGAACTTTTTCCCCGTGGTGTGTAGGGGTGACCTGATAGAGATTCATAAAATCATGAGGGGCATGGACAGGGTGAATAGCCAAGGTGTTTTCCTCAGGGTAGGGGAGTCCAAAACTAGAAGGTTTAAGGAAAGATTTAAAAGAGACCTGAGGGCCAACTTTTTCACACAATAGATGGTGCATGTGTGGAACGAGCTGCCAGAGGAAGTAGTGAAGGCACAACTACTACATTTAAAAAGCATTTGGACAGGTTAATGAATAGGAAAGGTTTAGAGGGATATGGGCCACACACAGGCAAATGGGACTAGTTCAGTTTAGGATACCTGGTCAGCGTGGATGAGTTGGACTGAAGGCTCTGTTTCCGCACTGTATGACTCTATGATTCCGTTATATGACTGGGATTAGGTGCTGAGCTCTCTCTATTGCTCCAATTCTGGCCTATTGTGCATCCCCATTTCTCACTGTACCAATGGTAACTACACCTCTAGCTGCCTTCGCCCCAAACCTCGTGACTTGTCTACTTCCCCATGCTCCTTTAGAATACTACTTTAAAACGCACCTTGCGACCAAGCCTTTTGCCAGACATTCTGGCATCTCGTGTAGCTCACTGTTAAATATTGTTTGATAATACCTCTTTGAAGTGCCTTGGCGTGTTTATATGGCTTCTTCTAAAATGAATTGTGCCAAGGTTAGGCAACATAGCAGTTGGATGGGTGTAAGGGCCACGGGTTTGATCGAAGCCCGGACCATTAGTGCCGTGGCTTGGCCAAGGAAACTGGCATCTGGCTGCAGCAAAGATACTGTAAGCACAGAGACTTTCAGGATAGAAGGATGAAGGATGGAAATTGCTGAACAAAAGGTCTGTGCTTTAATTTCTGTTTTCCTGATGCTGACTGGCTCACTGTAGTCCCCAGATTTTTCTTTTACTTTCCATAACCACAACTGACATTGACTTGCTATTTTTTTTTTTGAGGAGCCAGGCTTCAAAGTAGGAGGTGGGCAAAATGACAAATGGTATTGTACATGGGTGCCCATCTACAGAAGTGGTTCAATTTATTCTGGCTCAGGTTTTCGCTCAGCGGTCATGTCAACAATAGCACTGTTTCAGCCTTCCAGCTCCCCACCTCTCACTACATGGATGTTTGAGTGTTTCAGGTATGTTCCCTGTCCCCTACTGTGTTGCAGTTTGTTATTTTCTATATGTTAGCCCATGTGACGTACACCAGAGAGTTGGTTTCTTGTTAAGTCAGATATCTTGGGGCTTATTAGCAACACTACTTACTATGCTACAAAACCAGACTTGCACACAGATTAGCAACACAAAAAAAAAAATTTGCTAGAAGAAGAAAAATCAGCAGGTCTGGCAGCATCTGTGAAGAGAAATCGGCGTTAACGTTTCGAATCCAGTGACCTTTCTTCAGAACTGATAGCAGTTAGGAAAGGTTGTATTTATGCTGATGGTCGAGGCTGGGATAGAAAAGGAATGAGTGGATAGGTAGAGAAGGAGCCCAGAGAGAGTGCCAGTGAGAGCACAAGCAAGAGGGCATGAGAGTGCGAGAGCGTGAGAAATAAAGGGATTGTTCATAGTAAGCCAGAGAAATGGAGAAGCTAGATAGGTGATAATAGGGACTATGAGTAGTTGAAAATGGGTTGGCTGTGCTGAAAGCAATCCATGACATGACAAGAGCTAGGGTGTGGGGATGGGTAATAGTCTTGGAAGGAAATTGTCATGCTCTAAAATGGTTAAAGTTGAAGTTGAGTCCTGGAGTCTATGATGTCCCCAAATGTAAGATAAGGTGTTGCTCATCCAGATGACATTGTGGGTTGTAGATACTTTGGAACAGCGTGTTCAGATATGTAATGACAAACTCCGGAGCAGGTGGGGTTTGAACTGAGGCCGTGCAGCTCAGGAGGTAGGGTCACTACCATTGTGTCATATAACCCACACTGTAAAAACATGGGCGTTTACTTTTCTCAGGGGAACCTAGCATCTCTAAAGCTCTCTCTATCCTGGTCCCAAACAAGTCCTGCCCTATTCCCACCTCACAAACACTGAACAATGAGCCCTCCTACTCAACTCTGAGGTCAACATGTGAGCTGGCATCACATTGGGGCAGGTGTTTAGGAAGCACTGCTCCAGCAAGTCTCTACTGATTCCTGGGTGCCTGGCCACCAGCATTGCAAACCACTGGCCTGCACCACAGACAGGCAGGCAGGCGCACAGACCCACATTCCCCAAGGGCACAGTCTCACAAATCCCTGGTCACAACGACTCAAAGTGCCATCGTTTCTGATCCACCAAACCCACAAAAAGAGAGCTTTCGTTTCAGTGGCAGCCTCATGGACAGAAGGTGCAGCATGTGTGTGTGAACCCTATTCCACAGACGGGGCAAACAGAGACCAGGACTTCAATTCTGAATTCTAGTCTGACATTCTGCTCAATACCAGTGTCTGTTAGGCCACAGTGGGGGTACTGTGTGCAGTTCTGGATGCCACAGTATAAGAAGGATGTGATTACACTGCAGAGGAAGCACAGGAAATTCACCAGGATGTTGCCTGGGCTGGAGGGATTCACCTACGAGGACAGACCAGATAGGTTGGGGCTATTTTCCTTACAGCAGAGAATGGCCAAGCAGAGAAGTGATTTAGGTGCACAGCAGTTCTGAGGGGCATAGATTGGATAGGTAAAAAGAAATGCCTACCCTTAATACGGAGCTCAATAACTGTATTGCACAGGAGGTTTAGAGAGGATTTAAGGTTTTATTCACCTAGTGTGGTGGGTATCTCAATCTCACTGCCTGCAAAGTGTAATGGAGTTGGGAACAATCACAACATTTAAAAGTATTTAGAAGAACACATGAAACATCGTAAATAGCACACAAGGCGAATGACCAAGTGCCAGAAAATGAGATTGATGTAACTAGGTGCTTGATGATTGGCGTAGACACTTTGGGCCTGAAAGGCCTCTTTCCATGTTGTAAACCTCTATGACTATGCGAGTGTGCACGTCTCAAAGTATCAACTACGGAGACCGTACACCCTCTTTCCATGCTGTAAACCTCTACCACTATGTGGGTGTGCATGTCTCAAAATATCTACGGAGACCATACACCCTCTTTCCATTTGGGACTGATATCCTGGTCAGCCTTTGTGCCACAGAGTCATTGTGGCACAGAGGGGCAGACATTCAGCCCATCAATGCCAATCTATTAATCAGCCTGTGAATCCTTCTCACCCACACCTTAACTCAGTCCTTCCCTTGAGAATGGTGAAGACATATACAAGCAACAGAAGAATTTTTTAAAAAGCCTCAAACCTACATTGTAAAAAAATACACTTACTGAAATACTTGGCCCAGGTGTGTCAGAAGGCATCATTTCAGTTTCCTAAGTGAAAGATTGTGTAAACAAATAAGTCAATATCCAAGTTTTCAAAGTAATCTATGATTTACATGACTGATTAATTGGTGATTTCAGCCCAGTTTTCCAGTGTACCCTGAACCCAGGAGTCGTGAATTGAACCGTGATGAACTTTTACCTTTTCCTTCTTTTTTATGACTTCTGTCATTAATTTAGGTGCCGTGATATGGCAACTTATAAAACTTCTCATTGTATTTTTTATTGCTCTCAAAATACATGCAACAATAAATTACTATTCTATTCTAACTCAAATTCCAATTTTCATCATATCAGGTTTTGTGACTTTAAACTGGAGTTATGACACCAACGTTTGGTCTCTCTGTTCATTTATTTTCAAGTTGTTGGAGAGAAATAGTCTTGCCTTTTGGTCAGTGGATGATTCAACTTCTTGTTGCCTAATGGCAATCTGGCCTTGGCACCTGCAGAGTCAGTAAACTACTCCAGGACAGAAGGCCTATGCAGCCAACAAGTATAGCAGCAAGAGTATGCCATTCAGCCCGTCGAACCTGTTCCGCCGTTTAATATGTGATTGTTGATCAGTTTATCCAATGCACTTTAATCCAACTCAACTCAGCAAGCGGTAAATAATTTGCGGGAGCTGTAGAGAAAAGGTGGGTGAGGGGACTTTGTGAATGACAGGGACAAACTTAGCCTAGTTTTGTTTTTTTGGCCAAAGCCAACTGCGTCTCATCAAACGAATGACGTGGCAAGGGAATTTTAAAAAGTGACCAAGGAGAAATGAAGAGGATGGATCTGAAGTTGGTGTGCACTGATCAACATATCTTGAGTAACAATTCTGCCTCAAGAGAAAGCAGCTACCATGCCACGTTCTGCATCAACTACAGCTCAACACTGGGACAGTTACCACGGAGTTAGTCGTGCTCCCCGTATGACAAGTGCACGCTGCATTAGAATTAGGTTGTGATGTAGACGGTTTAGAGGGATAATCAGGGAGGCATAGCAGAGTCAGTCAAGCAGCACTCTTGTTATGATGCCCAAAGGGGCTAGGCCCGAAACGTCAGCCTTCCTGCTCCTATGATGCTGTTTGGCCTGCTGTGTTCATCCAGCTCTACACCTTGTTATCTCTGGTATTGTAACACAGCCTGCTTTACACATCAGTTCACTTTCTTTGATAAGAACAGAGATTTTTAAGGCAATCACACCTAAAAAAGTTTATATTAAACTCATTGTGCAACGTTGTTGATTAACATGCCCAAGCATTAGACAGCAAGTTAGCTTATTTTGTAAAAGAGGCCGGGTAGTTGAGAGGATTGATTTACGAGGCTAGTTGCAGTCTGATATTCACATGTACCATCTCCATAGACGTCGCAATGGATGCAGCGAGTAACGGCACATTCGGTTCTTTTACATTATCTGTAGGTTTATATGCAAAATAGTGCTGTTGAAAATAAGGAGAATGATTTGTAAATGTCATTTTATCACACCGGGCATAATCTCTACCATGCCATTTAATTGCTACAGCATACAAAATATCATATTTTCCTTTTTAAAAAGAAATGGCAAAAACCAATTCAGATCACAGATTATTGCAATGTTGCCACTAAGGTTTCTATGCAATGTAAATTCAATGTTAGGAATTTAAGGAGATCGGAGGACAAATGTTTCCAGAGGGTGGTAGAAATATGGAATCCATTGCCCAAGAGGATAGTGGAGGCAGGTACTCTCGCAATTTAAGAAACATCTGGATGAGCACTTAGAATACCAGGACAAAGTAGGCTGTGGAACAAGCGCACATAAATAGGATTAGTGTAGTTTAGCACGTTTTGGTCTGCATAACCACAGTCTATGGATCAGTGTAGTGGCTCGGCGGTTAGCACTGCAGCCTCACAGCAGCAGGGACCCAGCTTCGATTCCACTCTTGGGCAACTGTCTGTGTGAAGTTTGCACATTCTCCCCGTGTCTGCATGGGTTTCGTCCAAGTGCTCCGGTTTCCACCCACACTCCAAAGATTTGCAGGTTAGGTGGATTGGCCGTGCTAATTTACCCATAATGCTCAGAGATGTGCAGGCTGGGTGGACTAGCCATGGATAGAGAGGGTTGGGTGGGAATGTTCTTCGTAGGGTCATTGTGGACTCAAAGGGTAGAATGGCCTGCTTCCATACTGTATGGATTCTTTGAATGGTGCACTGAGGGCCCGTTTCTACGCTGTACAATTCTATGATTAAAATAATGTCTTAGCTTAAGGACAGCTGGTGACCAAATCAGCATGGTGTGTCTTTGTTCAGTATAAAAGGTGTCCGTTCCATGCCAAGACAAGCAGTTAAAAAATGATTAAAAAGAAGTTATAATAAATGCTACTTTTGAACTTTTCCATGGTAAACATATCCTAAAAGTATGAAGCTTTACACTCATCAACATAAAAACAAAGAACACGAGTAGGCCCTTCGAGCCCCCTCTGTCATTCAATGTGACCATGGCTGATCTGATTTTAACCTCAACTGTACCTTCTTGAATAGTCCTGATAATCTTTCATCCCCTCAGTAATCAAGGATCTATCTACCTTTCCTTAAAAGTAAATAAAGATTCTACCTATTGTGGAAGGGAATTTCAAAGATTCACAATCCTCAGGAAAAACAAATTGCTTCCTCATCTCTGTTTTAAAAGGACATCCTCTTATTAATAAACACTGACCCCTATTTCTAGATTATCCCACAAAAATGGGCCAAGGAATGGCAGATGGAGTTTAATTTAGATATGAGTGAGGTGCTGCATTTTGGAAAGGCAAATCAGGGCAGGGCTTATCTACATAATGGTAAAGTCCTGGGGAGTGTTGCTGAACAAAGAGACCTTGGAGTGCAGGTTCACAGTTTCTTGAAAGTAAAGTCACAGGTAGATGGGATAGTGAAGGCAACGTTTGGTATGCTTGCCTTTACTGGTCAGTGCATGGAGGTACAGGAACTGGGGGGGTCATATTGTAGCTGTATTGGTTAGGCCATGTTTGGAATACTGCATTCAAGTCTGGTCTCCCTGCCATAGGAATGATGTTGTGAAACTTGAAATGGTTCAGAAAAGATTTCCAAGGATGTTGCCAGGGTGGAGGGCTTGAGCTACAGGGAGAGACTGGAGTATTGGAGGCTGAGGGTTGACCTTATAGAGGTTTATGAAATCATGAGGGGTATGGATAGGGTAAATAGACAAGGTATTTTCCTCAGGGTGGGGTGTCCAAAACTAGAGGGCATAGGTTTATGGTGAGAGGGGAAAGATTTAAAGAAAGGATCTAGGGCAACTTTTTCACGCAAAAGATGGTGCATGAATGGAATGAGCTGCCAGAGGAAGTGGTGCAGGCTGGTACAATTACAATATTTAAAAGGCATCAGAATGGGTTTATGAATTGGAAGGGTTTAGAGGGATATGGGCCAAATGTTGGCAAATGGGACTAGATTTATTTAGGATATCGGCATGGACGAATTGGGCCAAGGGGTCTGTTTCCATGGTATACAGCTCTATGACTCTATGACTTTAAAAGGAAACACGCTTCCAACATTCATCCAGTCAAGTCCCCTCAGGATCTTATGTGTTTCACTGAAGTCACGTGTGGCTCTTCTAAATCACAGAGGGTACAAGCCTAGCCTATTTGTCTAACCTATCCTTGCTGGGCAGTACTGTACACAGTAGTCCAGGTGTAATCTCACCAATATCCTTTTAACTGAAGTATTGCCTCCCTACTCTTACATTCAATTCCCCTCACAACAAGCCATGACATGCAGTTAGCTTTCCTGATTACTTGCTGCAGCTGCATACTAACCTTCTGCAATTCCTGGACTAGAACTCTCAGATGTCTCCACATCTCAGAGCTCAACAACATCTCGCCATTCAGATAATATGCTTTTTTTTCATTCTTTCTGCCAAAACAGACAATTTTACTCTCCCACATTGAAGGAGTAAGTAAAGAGGTTAACTTACTGAAGGAGTAAGTAAAGAGATTAACAACTGAAGGAGTAAGTAAAGAGATTAACAACTGAAGGAGTAAGTAAAGAGATTAACAACACAACAAATTCCACAACAACTCTGATAAGGAAGTGGACCTTTAGACCGAACTTTACACAATCAGGATGAAACATCCGCTGAAACAAATCCTGCGCGCGAAAACAATAACAGCACTAACTGCTTTGCAAGACGCCTGGAACAGATTAAGGAACTGTGTACATGACTTGAGGGGGAGGTTGGCGTGTGACAGCAAATGTATATAACCTTTGAAATTGTCTGTAATAGCTGAGAAGTTTTGGTGAGACCCCTTTGAGGTCCCTGCTTCTCCCAAAAGCTTTTGTTAATAAAACTGTGTCTGACTCACTACAGAATTGTACTTGGTAATAGTTTACCTACAACACACATTGTACTCTATTTGCCAGATCTTGTTCTTGACTGTTACTTTATTTACAGAATGCAGCATGCCATATGTCTGCCTCCTCCCTACTAGACAATAGCCCCACAGACCCCTTTAGATTCTTTTGATGAAACTAAATTAGCCTGTTAAACCAAATTAATACGAATTAAAAAAGTGACAGTCCCAAAAAAAAGGCACTGTAAAGATAGAATCCCACAAGAAGCTTACTAAGTTCAAATGAAAATGTGATTTGAGGGAAATGATGCGCTACACCCCCTGTAGTACCCACAAGTTGTGGCAAAGTTTCTCTTCTTACTAGTTTGATAAATTATTTAAAATACGGCACACAAATTAAACCAAAGTGGACCAAATGAAACAGCCCTCTTAAAGACAATATTGGAACTGAGAACCAAACTTGCAAAGAAAACTTAATTTAAATTAGAATCGAATTTTGTAGGGTAATTACGCACTCCAGCTCCTATGGGGCCACTGGCACTTTTATACTATTTTAATTAAACTAATCAAACTGAATTAAACTAAACAAATGAAAGCTTTTTTTTTAAAAAGGGATGCTGTAATAAAAGAAAATTATAAAAGGAAGCTTACCAATTTAAACTAGTTTGGTTATGGGGACAGTTTTGGGAGAAACTCATGAAAGGTCCTTAGACCTCCCAAACCACGACCACTTCCATCTAGAAGGACAAGGGCAGCAGAAAAAATGGGAACACCAGCTCCTGCAAGTTCCCCTTCAAGTCACTCACCATCCTGACTTCAAAGTATATTGCATTCCTTCTGTGCCACAGAGTCAGAATCATGAAATTTCCTCTCTAACGGCATTAGGGTCAACCTACAACACATGGACTGCAGTGGTTCAAGAAGGCAGTTCACCAACACCTCCTCTAGGGCAACTATGATGGGCAATAAATGTTGGCCTAGCCAGCGATGCCCATGACTCACGAGTGAAAACAATAGTCTATTTATAACTGCTCTAATTACTTTATTAAACAATATCCTTTACTGTGCATCTTAACATAATTAAGATGTTATTAAACAATCCATAACCAAACTGCCACTTAATCAGACTAAATTACAAACATTTCATTTTAAATTACAAACATTTCATTTTATAAAGTTTAAGGTGGCTGAAAAAGAAACCAATTTTGAACAACCTTTGCTTCCCAATTGGGTTATAGAGGTCTTTGAAAACTGTACTCTCCAAACAATTTAACATTTTGAGTCAACGACATGGCACAGACTTGGATGTCTGTCTCAAAGATGTTCAAGACTGAGAAAGTATCTTGTTCGGATACCGCCATATCTTGCCACACTCTGTTTAGTTTCAGCATTGCTTCCACACTGTTGTGGAAATTCAAATCCCATTGGGATAATCATCAATACTTTTTGTACCAGTGCAGTAGTGTTTATTGATATATGTTCATACAAAACTAACCCTGCCAGCTCCAATTCACTCACTGTAGAGAAAGTAACCCAACTTGTACTCTGCCATCAATCGTGTCCGGCTTCACACATTTAACTGTGGAATAGACTCAAACTTTGAGTCAGAATCTACCAACACAAATAACTGAGCCCTGACTGGGCATCTCTCCCAGTCATTCCACAATGAGACATGGGAAATTCACATTCACAAGTACTCAGTATAACTACATTTGGGTGAGCTTGACAAATGCTTGTGGGAAGAGAACAGAATATCTTGATGGGGTGAGATAAAGGAGGGGTGGGAGGAGGAGGCTTGTGTGAAGCATAAACGCTAGCACAGGCTGGTTGAGTAGTGAGGCAAGTATTATTGCAATAGATGCAAGAATCCTGAGCGAAGTAGGCTCAGGGAGAGCAAACAGTCATTCCTCGTGGGGCACGATTGAAACAGAAGCACACGTGAGACAATCTAAACTGCAAAATATAGAAAATGGTGGAAGAAATATAGCAATGGAAAGAGAATCTTTTGATGATATGGTAGTGGATTAAACATCTTCTGACAGAGGCTCTCAAACCTGCAGTTGACTGAACTTTTTGCTGCACAGATGCTGACTGAAGGCCTTTGGGGATCTTCTGTCCAATGAATGTGTCATGACCTCTTGATTATTTGTATCTCCAGAAGGAAGCTGCAAGTTAAATAGGAGGATGGGGGAGACTGACACTGGCAACTGGGAAACAGTCGCGGAGGACTGTGGTAGCTGAAGGATGATCATAAGAAAAGCATGGGAGATGGGGAAGGGGATCAGCTGGCCAAATAGAGGGCCCACACAAACAAAGGCCAGAGAACCATTCACCTTCGCAGTCCACTGCCTTGTTCCACAGCATATGTAGCTGAGACTTGGGGCTGCTGAGTCATGTAGGGAATGCTGAGCAGAACTGACCAGCAAGGTGCAAACCAGCATCTCAGAGCGAAGGCTGCTATCGTTATTGTTGCTGATTATGCTGCAGTCTACTTCCAGAACTTTGTTTCTCTTTGTCTAAAGAGCTGTATGCCAACATTAAACCTATTAGTCTACAAATCGAATGCAAGAGCACAGAAAGCTTGAAGCCAACATAGTGATAAAAGTGGGCAACAGAAGACTCGATTCCCGATCGCTTCAATCAGTATAAATCCTGATATTTGTACAGAGGATGCTGATGTAAAGTGTTAGAATGTGTTTATACATACAAATTGTTAACTATACATGCTGTAGATATCCACAAAACAATGCACCACTTTAAAAGGAGTGAACACCACAACTCAGCACTTCCAACCACTGCCAAACGACCAGGAAGATCCTAGAGTCTTCTAGAATCGAAGATTAGCCTCCAGGATACAGCTGCAAGAAACCCAGGTCAAAGAACTTTGGTGCTTTAATCTATTTTTTTTAAAAAAGGAAGCTTTGTTTCAAAATTCTCACTTATCATAAAGAAAATATTGGGAAATGGGAAGGGAATGTTTCACCAACTGTCAAAACTAACAAAGCAGTCATCCTCTTCCTCACTTGGATGGACCAATGGAAGTAGTGTTTGGGAGAGAAGACAACCAGGTGATGGAGGATACCTCCAGGAGGAGAACATTCAGCCAGAGTTGGGAACCCACTCTGCCACAATTACAGATAGAGTGCACAACTAGCAGCACTGAATCAGGAGTTAACACAAATAATATAAACACAAGTATAAATTGCTCGCAAATTTAAAAACATGCCTCAGCTTCTCATGGGCAAATATGTACTTACACGTTTGCTTGACATGGATGGACCAGCAGTTATCTTTTCTCTTTTCTGAAATGGAAAATTGGACAACTAAATTTTTTTTGTTAATTCTGCAGCTTTTAAAAAAGGTTATTTATGACTTGCAGTAAATTAAGTAGATAAATTCTATTCTTATTTATCTTAACTGGTGCTGCAGTTCATAGGCTGCCATCACTTTCCATTTTCTCTTCAAAACTGAAAAACAATGGCCCTTGCCAAGGGTAAATGCAACCCACTGCCAGTCTGGATTTGCAGACACAGCACCCAAAACCTGAATGAAGTCTGAGTCGGCGGAGGCTTAGGCATGGCCTAGTTGTTGCGCTCACCAAGACCAGCTGCTAAAATTGACTAGAAGCAACACGAGTTGGAAAAAGAGCCAAAAATATTGATACTGCATGCCAGGTCGCTGGTCCTAATCCAATAAACTATTGTGTGAATATGAAGTTAACGTCCATTTTCCAAGATTGAAGAGTCTACTGGCATTCACCATGAAGTCAAATGCAAGAATACATCCTTCATGGGATGCAATGAAAAGGTATTACTCCTCAAAACCAAACCTTGGTGACTGCTGGTATTTAACTAGAAGTCACGGGAGGAAATATTAGCAAAACCAAGAAATAAAAAACTGACCTAGTTCATGATGTTGAGAAAAAAAAACTTAAGCCATTCAGATATTGTTCTAGTGGTGATGTCACTAGAGTAGCAATCCAGAGGCTCAGATTAATATTCTGCAGACATGGATTCCAATCCTTATTGTAAATGATGGGAGTTTAAACTCAATTAGTAAATCTGGAGTATAAAGCCAATTACAGTAATGGTGGACCATGAAGCTATCATTGGAGAGGGAATCAGACTTGATGTTGAGTTCAATATGGCACTTTAGTTCAGTTCTGAAAAATCATAGCAGACTTGGGACATTAATTCTGTTTCTTTCGCCACTGATGCTGCCAAATTTGCTGAGTTCCTCCAGGATTTTATTTCATAATTCCAGCAACCACAGTTTGATAATAATAAAAGCAAAACCCTCTTGTGGATTGTCATAAAAACCTATTGGGTTCACTCATGTCCTTTAAGGAGGGAAATCCACTGTCCTTACCTGATTAGGCCTGTATGTGACTCCAAATCCACAGCATTTATGGTTGACTCTTAACTGCTCTTTGAAATGGCCTAGCAAGCGACTCAACTCAAATGGCAGTTAGAAACCGGCAGTAGTTTCTGGCCTTGCCACTGACACCCATATTCCATGAATGGATAATGAGATTGTGCAAAATGTAACTCTTTTATTTTTCAAAAAGATCTATCAGGATTTGGTTGTCACTGCCTAGGCCTTCAACTGTTGCCCATCCCTGGTTAACAAGAGAATGCAGCAGTCAACTCAGCTTCCTTCCTGTGTGGGACTGGAGTCACATATAGGCCAGTCCAAGAGGGAAAGCAGGTTCTATGTACAAAAATTGTCTTTGGGCACAATGTTCTGTCAGCTTCACATCACATTTACTGTTACCAACTTTTCATCAACTGAATTCAAATTCATCACCGGCCACAGTGAGATTCTCTGGATCATTAGGAGTCCACTAACGGAACCACTTCACTGCACTGAGGCAACTGGAAAGTGACGAGATCAAGCAGGAAAGGAAAATGGCTCAGAAACATTGTAGCTGCAAACCTAACAAACAATAATTGTATTACTGGCCTAATCGTTAGGCCACTTTAAAAGAGATTTAAAAGTCAAGTACGCAGTTCAGGAAACCTTTTTTTTAAAAAAAAAGACTAAAAAGCCTTTAGAGAAGAAATATTTGCCCAAATTGAAAACAGACAGCTGCAAGTCAAAAATCTGACACTTTCCTAAACCAAATATGGCAATTGAGCTGGAATGTATAGTGTACTTTCACAAACAAATCACAGGTATTGCTGAATAAAACAGAGAGGTTATCAAATCTTTTGACCTGCACTGACCAAGACACAGGAATGTCAAAGATTCAAGCAAAAGTTTGAAAAAACAGAATTAATTTATATTAACTTTGACTTATCAATTTTTTGACTTCATTTGCATTTTAGTTTTCTTCATGTTTCCAATGCATTGGTGTTCAGGTGCTTAGATAACCTTTGTTCCCCACATTAAAAAAAACACAGCTCTTATTTTTTTCTTGACTTAACTCATGCTAATTGGAAAAGGACAGAAACCACAGACAATCGCGTGGCCCTCTGGGGCATTTCCGAAAAATAATTCGCAAATCGTATCAATCATGGTTAACGCACTGATGTCAGATTTCAATGCGGGGGTGCTGGTGTTGGACTGGGGTGGACAAAGTCTGAAGTCACACAACACCAGGTTATAGTCCAACAGGTTTATTGGAAATCACAAGCTTATGGTTTCAAATAAACCTGTTGGACTATAACCTGGTGTTGTGTGACTTCAGACTTTGTCAAATTTTGGAAACACAATTTAAAAGAAGGTATGTCAGTAAGTAAAAATAACTACCTTTATATTAAAAATTAGTTGTACCTTTGGTAAACAGAATTCAAATTCTCAAATTGCCACTGAGGGGTCTTAAATGCATGCAATCCAGACTATGGCCTGTCAAGTAACATGACTACATGGCTGTAGTTTTGTGCATATTGGCTGAACTCTGATGACCAGTCGGGTTCTGTTGAGCTTATACCCACAAAGCAGACTGAATCAGAATTACAAAAGATATGCAGGTGGTCAGATTGCAGGGGCAGAGTCACTCATCAAACTTTCCCATTCTTACCTGGCACACTGGCATGGTATGACCTACAAAGGCTTCACCAACCGACCTTATACATTTTAAGCACATGAGACTGGAACCTTTTTGAAAAACAATTACATCTAAACTGGTTTCATTAAACACTGTCTGTGATGTTGCAAGCTAATGTTGCCAAGTATTAAATTGTCAGCTAATTCTATTTTGAAACCTAAGTGGCTGGGTAGTCGAGAGGATTGATTTACGAGGCTAGTTGCAGTCTGATTTTCACATGTACCGTCTTCAGAGCTGGCTTTCTGGTTTGAAGGTTTACACCATATTTACTAGCTGCAGATTTATGTGATTTCTGTTGAAAATAAAGAAAAACGATCTGTGAACCTCAATCCTTCACTCAGATTCATCTGTACCATGCCATACCGTCATTGCTACTGCACACAGTAATAAAAAGATTATAAACTAGAGATAATGAAACCCAAATTAAGGTGAGATTCAATTTTGCAATGTTGCTACTACACTTTCTGTGGAATCTAAATTCTATGGTTAAGAACCAAAAGAAAACTTAAACTCAGGATAGTTTTAATAAGTTGGTCCACAGGTGTAAGGTGGCATTGTGGAGGAACTGCCAGTTACAGTCTCAGTGTGTAAGAAAAATACAAGATCACGAACATACCAATTGGGAGTAAGCCAGTCATTCCGCTCAAATGTACCTTGCTAATTGATCAGATTGTGGCCTCTCCTTTACACCCACCCCCCAACACCTTTTGGCTCCCACATCATTCAAGAATCTCTCTAACTCAACCTTAAAAATATTCAAAGACCCTGCCTCAACTGCTCTCTTGGGAAGCGAATTTCACAAACTAAAGACTCTAAGAGAAAGCATTCCTCCACACTGCCATCTTAAACAGGAGGCCCTGTATTTTTAATGTGTCCCTTAGTCCTAGTCTCCCTCATTAAGGACAGAGGCTTGTCAGGATGCATACCAAATAGTAGTACCCCCCAACGCCCCAGCAGGGCAAACCTGAACAGCTTCAGCTTCGGGGAGGTGGGTTTAGGTAGGGGAGTCGCACAATATCGAAGCAATCGTTTAGGATGGACAAGAGGAGAAAGGTCTTTACTCAAAAGGCATGTAAATCTTTGGAACTGTCAATCCCAGAAGATTGTGGGTGCTCCAGGGTCATGTCTATTTGAGGCTGTGATGGACAAATTTTTGATCTCTCAGATTGCCAACAGATGTAGGGAGTGGGTGGGAAGGTGGAGTTGAGTCAGAAGAAGCTGCATTGGATTGTGAAGGTGGCTCAAGGGAACAATGGGTCTTACTTCCTCTCTTGTTGCAGATTTTCTTACTCCATTGAAAATGACACAACAGCAAATTCCAAAATTTATACCAGAATTATGATAAATGCTATTTTCAAACTAATAGAGATTGAGTCGAGTTGACCAAAATAAAATCACAAACATTTATATTCATCCAGTTTGCCTAACAATAAAAGTATGCGAGCAGATATCCTTTGGATTAAGCTATGAGAACAAACGGCACTAACAAGTGTCCCAAGCCAAACCCCACCAGTCAAACGGCAGGGCAACGTGACAGTGGTTCCTGTTCAACAGGTTCGAGGCTATGATTCCGAGTCCTAGTTTCACCCACCAGTGGAAACAACCTCCCTGCTTTTTTCTTTCCTATTCCTCTCATACATTTTGATAAGATTACCCCATAACATACAGGCCTGATCAGGTAAGGACAGCAGAATTTCCTTCCTTAGGGAAGGAAACACCCAAGTCGAAACACAACTGGTTTCTGACCCCCACTTTCCTTGGAATTCTACTGAGGCCGGCTCGGAGTGTCTACCACAAGAGGCAATACATTAGCTAAACCCATTCCTATGGCATTGTGGCTCAGTGGTTAGCACTGCTGCCTCACAGCACCAGGAATCCAGGTTCAATTCCACTATGGGTTGACAGTGTGGAGTTTGCACATTCTCCCTCGGTCTGCATGGGTTTCCTCTAGGGGCTCCAGTTTCCTCCCACAATCCAAAGAAATGCGGGTTAGATGGACTGGCCATGGTGAATTACCCATGGAATCCAGGGATGTGTAAGCTAAGTGGGTTAGCCATGGGTGAGTGCAGGGTTATAGGGACAGGGTAAGGAGGTACGCGTCTGAGTGGCATGCTCTTCAGAGTATCAGTGTGGACCCAATAGACCAAATGGCCTGTTTCCACATTGTAGGGATTTTATAGATTGGGCCCGGGTTTCCCTCCCCTTTTGAACTGGCCAGTTTTATTCACTGAGACAACAAGGTGTAGAGCTGGA